AAACTCTTATGAGAAATAGCTCAATTATAATTAGAGGAGCAATTATCCCCTTGTTAAAGGTAAAACAAATCACAGGTTTTGGGGAAAAATTCAGTTTTCTCCTTCTGCCATGCCAATAAATCTTGTATCCACTGATATTTTGATCCCAGTAGTCTCTAAAAGAGATAATCTGATGAAATAAAGCGTCTCTGAGTATATTTCTGGCTCACCATGTGACAGCAACATTTTCTAGGCATAAACTAAAATGAGCAAAGAGGGATTCATTTCACAGAGTGCTGCTATTATGCCACGGGAGGAACCCAGCACTCAACACGGGCATATTAATTTTCTGGCTTCTTTAGGGAGATGGGGAGGTTTCTGCTGAAAGGCAGGCACATGCCTCCCCAGAAATGGAAGAAAAGCATTATATTTTTGGCTTTATCCTAGCAAAAGAGTTATTAAAAATACTGAGAAATACCATTTTAGAGTATTTCTGGAATTTATTTTTCTTTCTTTCACCTAGTCTACTTTCAATTTTAATACGCTTATTATTAACCTGCCCTACAGTCCTTGAACCAAAGTAACTCCCAAGTCCTTCTATTCCCTGTCCTAGTGGGTTAGAACTCTTCTAATTGATAGATTCCCTCACCCTACACTGAGTTCTCTCAATAGGGCTGCATCTTCAGAGGTGACAAACATCTTTTTTCTGGAAAATTCCATTTCCTGAGGTGCAGCCTCTGTGCCACATCCAACAGAGACTGTTTATTTCACTTAGTTAAATATGCTTAGAGAATCTACCAAGTAACCTGCAGTCTGCTGGTGTTAGAGATAAACATGAACAAAAACCCCTTTCTGTTCCTTATTTCATCACAATCTAGTCAGGCAGGCAGAAGAGTAAACAGAGACATTTCAACACAAGTGGTAGCTGGAGCTATGATTTTATATAGCTATATAGGGGCTGACGGTCGGCCAGCCACGCTGGTTTGCCCACACCAGGTGTCAAATACCGAAATAGTGCCGTATCCGTATCCGCAGCTAATACCCGAGCTGCCCTCCCCCCACACCGTGTTCTGGCTGGCTCCATGGAATGCCCGGGCCACCCCGGGACTCAGCAGCCAAAGGGTTTACACCCGAAGCAGCACAAGGCCTTGGACTCTGCTCTATTCTAAGGAAGCCACGGTTGTTAAAGAGTTTTAAATAAATAGATATAAAGAAAGGGTTGGCAAGGAGACCAGAGGAGGGAACAGCCAAGCCCAGAGCTCTGAAACCCTTGTGCTTCATCCCTGGGGTGCCCACAACATAGTTTTTCTTAACCAATGAGTATTGAGAGGAGTTCTTAGTCAAAACTGTTGCCACCTGGAGAGATGGAGTGTAAGGAATCCTTGGTTGGCCTCTTCCTCCCCTGAGACTTTCTTTGTCACTCTCTTTCCTTCAGCTCTGAAAAGGAGAGCTACCAACAGTGGCCTCAGCTCAAATTTCCTCTTTGGGAGAAAATATGAGGGCCGGTTCAATGTCCTGGGACCATGATAACTAAATGGACAATAGTGACTTTAAAAGTCAGAGTAAGGAGAGCAGCACATTCTGAATGATTTCTGTAGATATTTACATTAATCTTTCGTAAAGTAGATATTTACATAAATAAGTGCGGTTCCTTGTTTTAAAGCTCACAGTGTTATCTGCATTTGTAGCATCTATGGACTCTAACCAAAGCAATTGGCTAGAGAATACAGGAGGGCGTCTCGGGGATTCTTCACAGGACAGAAGCTTCATCTCTGCATACCCCACAGTGCCCAGCAGCGATGCAACGTGCTCACTGACTATTTTGAATTCAACAGTTTGAATTCAGTCTTCTCTAAATCAATAAGTGATAATATAATAATAGTACTATTAATGGCTGATGTTTCTTGAGTGCTTTCTACATGTCCTAAGTGATTTGCATATATCATCTCATTTAAACTTCACGACTATGTTCTGGATAGTTACAGTCATGCATTGCTTAACAACGGGGATATGTTCTGAGAAACGTGACGTTAGGTCATTGTGCGAACATCATAGAGTGTACTTACACAAACCTGGATGGGATAGCCTGCTACAAACCTAGGGTATATGGTCCTAATCTTTTGGGATCACTGTCGCATGTGTGGTCTGTTGTTGACCGAAACGTCATTATACAGTGCATGACTCTACTATTATTATCTCCATTTTGTAATGGAGGAAACTTAGGTACAGAGAATTGAAATACCTTGCCCAAAGTCAAAGAGTTAAACGTGGTGACACTTGAGTTTAAACCTAGAGTTTTGTAAGGAAATTATTTTAACATTCTGTAGTGGAAACTAAAGCCAAAATAGGGGAGAAAATTAAATGTTATTTATTACCGCAGAAATGCCTATGCCATTATTTGCACCAAAGGTAATGCCATTGTGACTTAAGATTAGTAGAGTTTTTAGAAACTTACTGACTTGTATGGGAAGAAAGAAAATTATTGCCTCCTAATATTCTGCAAAGAATGTACCTGACTCCTTCTACACTGGAGCTAGACATATAAAACAAAGATCAATTGAATCAATCAGCCATGTTTCACTGAGCATTTACTATCCAAGTTTTTCAGAATCATTTGCCTTGGATAGAAAAGAAGCACAAATCCTTGCCAGTGTGACCGGATATCTTAGGCACTGATTTTATTTATGTTAAAACACAAGAGATTTACCTGCTGGTGTCCCTTTAAGATCAATATTTCATTCTATGCTCTTTTTATGCTTTTAGATTCCTCAAACAAATGAAATATTAAATAATTAATGCATTTCTCATTAAATTAAAATAATCTTATAATCCTTTAACTCATCACATTATATTTCATCCTTTTCTTTTTTAATTTATCTGCCTCTCTGGAGCAAATGACAGTTGTAATGTGTCATGTTAAGGTATTCATTAGCTTTCTGATCTTGGTGATTCTAAGGGTGTTGAAAAGAATCTACATAGGAGTTTATTAGCCTGCTCTGGAACATGTGTATTTGATCTCTCTTCTGACTTCAAAAAGAAAAAAATATGCATAAATATAGTTCTTTGAATGTCAAATGGGTATATGATTTTTGAGCTCGCCGAGTGTTAATTGGTCTCTTCCCAGTGATGATATAAATAAAATTCACAGCCAATTAGTTTGCAGTCATGAATCTTTACTCCTTGACAAAGTGAACCACTTTGTTGAGGAGACTAAAACAATGAAGAAATTACTAGGATCTCCTCATTGCAAGTCTTTGCAGGGATCAGCTATCTTTAAGAAACATCAAGTAAAAATGAGGCTATAGATACCCAGGTTACTCAGGATACGTTTTGGTCCTTAAGGTAGTTTAATGGAGGAGGTTGGCATTAGGGTTTTAGAAATACAATTAAGGAGACTGATGCACTATTGTAATAAGTGAAATGAAATATTGAACAGAGAAGAGTTGCCTCCTTTCTAATCACAATAAATCATACTGTGTGTCAGTGTTGGAAGATAAGGTTTTGTGTGGTAGGATAAAACAGCTATAATCATGCAAAGTCTCTAATAAAATGCTAGAAAGTGCCATGGGATGCCAGTTACGAAACAAAAAATACCTCTCTTCTTTCAAAGTAAAAAAGGAAATTTCATTAAGAGTGCCACTTTGAGTCTTTGCATTAACACATGGAAATATGAACAGCTGTGACAGAAAAATAAAGTCATTGTGTAAGGGCCCTGCCTAAATTTCTAATTAACTTATTATTACTATTAATTTGGAAAGACCAACCAGATGTTTAATTTTGTTATCACAGGACCAGGTAACTGAGCTGGGTCCCACTTTTGCTTGAAGCTTCAAAAGACTGAAAAACTATGGAAATCTAATTGTAAGTACATTGTTAACTATTAAACATTTTTTTGGATAACATTTTAAGTCTCAGTAATATTATTTTGCAATTTCACAAATAGAGAAAATTCAGGGCTTACTTTTACAAAAAAATCAGGTGACCCACATTCAGGCCCAAGTTGTAACAATTAAAAAAAATGCTTCTTTCCATATATGCAATAAAGAGTAAAAATTCCAAAGGACTCGATGCAGTTTGGAGGCTAACAAGGACCACCAACAAATTGGCAGCTGTGTTACTTGTTAAATTAGAGATTTTCTGGGTTCATAGGATACTGGATCAGCTAGATCAATAACATTTGATGCATATTAGGATGTCTCCCAATAATTATAAAAGGGTAACATTTTTCAGAGTTTGGAACTATTTGTTAACAAATGGAAGACACAGTATTAGATGATTTTCCTCAACAGTATTCTCTAAGATGATGGTGAGTGTCTAAGGAGAGCATGGCCCTCTCTTGTGGTCTTGTAGGTCTATCCCCCACAGACATGCATTTTTAAAGGCACTGTATTGTTTGGTGCTAATGAAAAGTCATGGTATGTATCTGATTCATAATACTTCATTAGCAGCCAATAGGTTTGTTTTAGCAAAAACAGAAAATGAAAATGAAGAGCTTGATGGAAAGCTTATAGGAAGAAACTAATTGACACTTGTTATCCCTCAAACATGTTTTTATTCATGATGTGTGGATATGGCTTTTAGGTATGTCCACGATTACATCATGGAACAGGAAATACATATGTGGAATGCACCGGATCACAGACACATACACAGATACCCTTCTTGCATTTTTTGCATATCATCAAGAACAATAAGAAAACTGATGGTACATTATTAAGTCATACCATCTCTTTCTATGATAAGTGCCAGATAAAACAAAGCAGTGTTTCTAATTTCTTGAAAGAGAATGACAAAATTAAACCAAGCTGCCTGTGGCTTTGTCCAGTGGGGCATTCTAATTGACTCCCAAGTCATTAATCAGTTCCCAATCAATCTATTTTGCCAGCAGCAGGCAGTTAGGACTCCATTACCAACCATTCATCATGCCATGCCCTAATTCACTATACCATTAGCCATGGATCAGGCCTCTGTTAGAATAACTAAGTGCCAGTTGCTAAATGCAAAGAATTTTTGTTACTCACCTCAGCCACGGGGATCCCTTCAGGTGGTCGACACTGGAGCAAGACTTCCTGTTCCAAGGATACTTCCTTTCCTAGAGGTTCCTGCTCAAATGTCTTCCGTAGATCTGAAAAGCACAGGTAATAAAATACATGACAAAACTAATTAATATTTAATTATTTAAAGAAAGTGCAATCAAAATTTTCAGTTTAGTATTTTATGTGTCTTTGTATGTTTTTAAACATGTTGTTAGTACTGTACCATAATCTGGGTGATTATATTCTGTGTTGTGGAAATTATGAAATTCAGAGGCTATTAACTGTTCCTGTTTTAATCTTCATTGGAATGTTTTGGAAACCCTCATTTTAACAACTAATGATATTCATTCATTGCATTTCCTTAGTATTTCTTCATAATCAACTATGATGATCACATTTTTAATCAAAAGAATCCCATTGTCATGATTTTTATACACACATAGTCCCTTATGTACATAAATATTTTCCTCTTTCTTACAATAGATAGTATTAAAGTTGTAATAACTCTGAGATCTTTTGATCAATAACTCAAAAGCAAGTTTCTGTTTCAGAGTAGAAAACAGAATGCTGGAGTCCTGAAAGAATGAATATCACTTCTTGAGTTGTCTCAAAAACAAGGCACAGAAAAGAGTAACTATTGGGACCAGTCCAGAAATCTCTCAATATGTAATTATGTGGCCATTCTTCAGTTAGAAGATTAAATAGTCATTTCTGCCCAAATATACCAAGTACCTAATTATGTATTTATATAGTTATAATTGCTATAGCAATATGCAGTAGACTTTTAAAAATTGTTATAGATGGACACAAAAATGTTAGAAACCAGCTTGTCATTTTAAATACCAAAGTTAAAAAAATGAATGATTCAGCCAAAGAGCTTTGAAGCAGCATCAAAAAAATAAAAAACAAAACAAAGAAGGAAAAAAACACCAGGGGCCATCGTGGTGGCACAGTGGCTAAGTTTGTGTGCTCCGCTTCAGCGGCCCGGGCATGCACCAGTGCACCGCTTGTCAAGCCATGCTGTGGCGGCATCCCATATAAAGTAGAGGAAGATGGGCATGGATGTTAGCCCAGGGCCAATCTTCCTCAGCAAAAAGAGGAGAATTGGCAACAGATGTTAGCTCAGGGCTAATCCTCCTTCCACATACAAAAAACCCCACAAAAAAACTCCCAAAATTTATTTCTTACTTGTACAGTTCAGCTTTTTCCAAGAAAAAATTATTAGAATTTTATCCAGTTGATTCTAATAAAAAATTAATGCCTCTGTCCTTTCACCCCATGTCCTTGATAAAATCTTAAGAACCTAAAAAGCACGCTTTCAGCCTACTGAACTAATGAGTGGAAACCTGAAGACTCTGGAGGTATATCCCTAATGTCTTTCTGGGAGATATCATAAAGCACCACTTAGAAAAATGCACTGAGAGAAAAATACATTGTTACAAACTTGCCATTTTGTTCACTTTCTTGGCAAAAACAAAAACAAAAACAAACAAAAAAACTTCAAAAACTTAGAGGTTGTGAGAAAATTATGGATTTACGTAGGTCTGAGGTAAAACAAGAGACTCTCCAAATGGTGACACAATTTCTGTCAGTAAAGCACTTCTAATTTGATTATTAGGAAATTGAGTATATTGTAGAAATGAACATTTAAAATCTAGAGAGTTGGAGAGTGACGTCAGCATCGTGGCGGAGTAAGCTTCCCCCGTTGAACTCTCCCCCCCCAAGACACAACAACAAGGACATTCATATTCCAACAGAAGCTATTCACACAACACCGGGGATTTCTGAGGCACCCAGGAAGCCGTATACCAGAGGACTGAGGTGCTGGAACTCCAGAGTAAGCGGAAGGAGCTAAGAGGTGCTCCTTTCCTTCCCCAAGGACTGTGACCCTGAGACTGAGACGGCATGGCTCTCGGGCGGGGGGGGGAGGCTCCGCGTGAAAAACGACACTCTCCAAGACTCTTCACAGCCCAAGGGAATCCCCCTATGGAGGGAGTGGAACTGTTGCCAGGGTAGTTTCAACAAGCTAGCCCCTCAGGAGAACAGAGAGTGATGGTGAGGCAAGAAACCTCTGAGATCGGGGAGGCGAAAGTAAGCACCCCTCCCCCACCGGGCCTGCCTGACAGGTGCCTCAGCACAGCGGCACTTCAGCTGAGCCCCATCCCCAGAGGCAATGGCCCCCAGGCGCCCGGCCCGACCAGCATCGGGGCGAGCCTGCACCCCCGCACCAGAGGCAGTGGCAGCTTAGTCCCCACCACGTGACAGCCCCAGCTGCTCCAGCTGGACTAAGTCACAGCCCCAGCTTCCCCAGCTCCACCGTGCCACAGCCCCAGCTCTTTTGGCTGGAACGTGCCCTGCACCCAGCTCCTTCAGCTTGACCGCCCTCCAGCCGCAGGCTCTAGCTGCCTCAGCTTGGCCTGTGTGCAGGCTCCGGCTGACTTGGCGCCAGCAACTTCGGCCCACCGCACTCCAGTTCCAACTTCTTTGGCCCAGTGGTGCTCCAGTTCCTCCTCCTTCTGCCCAGCACACTCCAGTTCCAGCTTCTTTGGCCCAGTGGCCCTCCAGCTCCTCCTTCAGCCCAGCACACTCCAGTTGCAGCTTCTTTGGCCCAGCGGCGCTCAAGCTCTCCCTTTGTTGGCCCAGCGCATGCCAGTTCCAGCTTCTTCAGCCCAGCGGTGCTCCAGCTCCTCCTCCTTCAGCCCAGTGCACTCCAGTTCCAGCTTCTTTGGCCCAGTGGCCCTCCAGCTCCTCCTTCAGCCCAGCGCACTCCAGTTCCAGCTTCTTTGGCCCAGTGGCACTTCAGCTGCAGCTGCTTCAACCCACCCGCACCCGAGCCCCAGCTGCTTCGGCCTAGCTGCGCTCCAGCTCCAGCTATTTCCACGCTTCCCCCCAAGCAGCCTCCCCTCAGCCACACTGCAGATCAGTCAGGGGCTGACAAAGAGTGCCCACGGACTGAGGCAGGCCAGAATACACAGCCCTTGGCCCCCCAGCAGCAGCAGCAAGAGGAAGCTGTGACCATGTATTTTCACTATGAGGAAAGGTAAGCCAACACCAGCAGGCACCATGCAAAAATATATTAAATCTCCAGACCAAAAGGAAAATGACAAGCACCCAGAAGTCAACCCAGAAAGCACAGAAATGTATAACCTTAATGACAGAGAATTCAAAACAGCCATCATAAAAAAGCTTAATGAAATACAAGAAAACACAGACAGACAATTCAGTGAAATCAGGAGTTTCTTCACAAAAGAAATTGAAACTATAAAAACAAAAAACAATCAGAAATCTTAGAGATGAAAAACACAATAGAGGAGATGAAGACAAATCTGGAAGCCTTAAGCATCAGGGTTGACAATATGGAGGAAAGAATTAGCAATATCGAGGACAGCAATGCAGAAGTGCTCCAGATGGAGGAGGAAAGAGAACTAAGACTAAAAAGAAACGAAGAAACTCTCCAAGAAATATCCGACTCAAGTAGGAAATCCAACATAAGGATTATAGGTATTCCACAGGGAGAAGAGAGGGAAAAAGGAGCGTAAAACTTGTTCAATGAAATAATATCTGAGAACTCCCCAAACCTGGGGAAGGAGCTGGAAATACCAGTGAATGAAATAAATAGATCTCCTAAATATATCAATACGAAAAGACCCTCTCCACGGCATATAGTAGTAAAGCTGGCAAAAGTCAATGACAAAGAAAAAATAT